GTAAATAAATACATCGACTAATTACTTCAAAAGAAAACTTCACCTTCGTCGAATAAGCTCTCTAATGTAACGTTTATTTTAATTTGTCGTTAATTTGTAGCCGTGACGTTAAATGATGTAAGTTTTAGGGTTTACTAAATCGGTGATCTCCAGAGTTCGATTTTTAGTGTCATTCATGGTCTCACAAAATATCTCAACAGACTTGTAACAATCGATTGATGAACAGCGACACACTTAAAATCTATGCACTTTTCCGTTCAGGTCTATTGTCGAAACGTAAGCAAAAACTTAAGTTACAACATAGTTTGACAAGTCACAAGTCACAAGCTGAAAACTCCTTGTTCGATTCTATCCTCATCTTTTTCCGCTCTTGAGTCATTCGATTTCCGGTAGATTTAATTTTTATTCTATGCCTGACGCTGCCTCAGAAGAAGAGAAAAGAATATGAAAAAAATACATGCTAACCTTCCTTTAGATAGGTACTCGTAATAAATTAAAATACAAGTTTTTTTCGGTCCCGAAGTGAAAAATCATAGCGGACAATTCCTTAATATATGATCGCCCGACGATAAAAGTTTAGGGCATACCATAATGAGAAGTATGCCTTTTTTCGTTTACCCATTTTCGAGACCTAAAAAGACATCGAAATTAGGGGAGTATTTGATTGGCTAAACCGTCGCCACAACTTTAACACCATAGATTTGTGATCAACAGAAACAAGTGATTGATCCATCAAACCCAAAGCGCTGTGGGCAAAGAGATTAAATCAGCAGTTCGTTTAATCCAGGTTTAACCCTTTTATTCCCATGAGTGACCGAGACAGAATTTCTTCTTACAATATTGATACAATATCAAGCAGACAATTGATGAGAAAAAATCAAAACGGGGATTTTTAGTTGTTCCCTGAAATACCAAATTCTCCGAACTAATATCATGAGAATTGAATGGAAAACAGTAGGGAGAATTATTAATGAGATCTTAGGAGTGAAAGGGCTAGGCGTTCAAAGTAGATCAGGTGCCGGCAAAAGTGCAGCTACTCAATTCCTAATAAAAAATTGAATTGCTGACCGTGTTGAACGTCGTCCAGTTTCTCTTTCCTTCCTCGAATTTCTTATTTTGAGATGGGCTCATTCTAAGCCTGACCATGGTTGTGCTGAAGAGAGAACCAAAATAGAAGATATAATTTGAATCAATTTCGAATACGAGTATACTTTTCTTTCATTATGTGCAAGTACTTCAGTTTATCGTAAATAATTTGACAGATTTCTCTGAAAGCTCACCGGTACTAATTTAAATTATTCATATTTCTAGGTGGGGAAAAGAATTTTGGGGTTTAATTCTCTCGCCCAAGTACATAACACAGTGGCCCAGTCAGGGTTTAAACGGCTTCGATCCGACTTCGAACATGCGCAAGATATCCAGTGTTATACTAAACTTGAGATAAAACAGGAACTTTTTACATTCGCAGCACAATTTTGAAAGAAGGGGACTCAAGTCCTCTGGTTTCCTAAAAATATTTTACGTCAAAACGTTTTCACAATCACCCGTCTGGCTCTATGGCGGTGGTTGGGCGTCAGGGAAGCAGCGAGAGCGTTTACAACAAATCTAATTTTGATATACTGAACGCATAAGTGACTGCATGTAGAATAAGAACGAGTATAGAAATAAAAAGCGATAATAACTACACATGTCATCAATAAACTAACTACAAAGTAAACATTTCCCACAGTTGCTCCAAAAAAATCACATTTTTCAATTAGTACTGTCATGGCAGCTGTAGTTAGGAAGTCGTCTTATTCTGTACCGTGTATGATATTATGCTTTTCTGTAATTTAAAATTAATAGTATCGAAGCCAACGGCGAGATACGGTACCTTTTTTTAAATATGTATTTACTCCTAAGTTATGTACCTCAGGAAAACTCGAGACAAAATGACTTCCATCAACCCTCGACGTCGAATTTGAGCCACACTACTCAGCAACTTCGAACGAAGAAACGCACGCTGAGCTCGACAGAACGGACCATACTGTATATGAGGTTATAAAGCGGAAGTGATGTGTTTTGTGGCCCCAGAAAAGCTGCAAAAGATGCTGAACTTCTTTTACTCTTTCCACGTGCAAGACTGATCGCAAATATGGATATAAGCTTCTGAAAATTATTTGTAATTCAAATGAGTTTACCGACGTTGAAAGGCGAACCGAAAAGTGTCGAATAGCCCTTCGGTTACTGCCGTTCAATAATAAAACGAAATGGGATGGCCTGATGACGGCTCATTTCGAACTTGGTAAATGTCGAAAAATGTAAATATCGCCGTGGAAGCACTAGGTAAAACTCAAATGAAATAAAAGCTTGAAAAAAAAATACGAAACGAATAAATTAAAAATATTCCTTCATTATTCAAGGGACTAATTTTTAAAACTTGCCAGAGTTGCCATGTTGTATACCTCTATCAAACAAGCAGAAAACGGACTTTTTTTTACTTTTTGAAAGTGAAGTTATAAATATGTTTGTTCGTCGCAGTCGGAGCGAGTGAAGAAGGGCTAACTCTCGAAACGTCAGCCTAGACACTCTTTACGGTGGCCAATTTACGTTATCAACCCAGTTCATAAAACCGAATTATCTTGATATTCTCCCCCTACTGACGCAGCACCGTAGTTCCTCTAGAAACGTATCCCCTTCATTCATATGTTTGGAATAGTAGTATTATCGTCCATTAGCCGTGTTGATCATAGATTAAGAATGAGGAAAAAAAAAATCGTTCAACTTATAGCAAATGAAAAGAGATGTCGAGAAGAGATGTAAAAAGTTAAGTTTTTCACTTATATATTTATGTATTTACTGATTGCAATATTTTTGCATCATTCTCAAGCAGTGCTATTCAAACTTAGAACTATCGTGATAGAGGTGGAATTTTACGAAGTGGATTTACGAAGTTCACCAGTGAAACCTCTCGGAAATATTTTGAAATGACTGATCACGTCGTTTTAGACTGCTCTCTTCGCAAAAAGTTCCCTGCGTCAAAAATTGTTCCTTGCCAGTTTTAAAGCCTTAAAATGTGTTCCATTTCAAATCCCTTGTCTGGCAAAACAATTGATCTTGACAAGGACACCCCTTGACTTAGGAACGTGCAATTATTTATGCGTTTACATGCCCTTTAAGCGCTGAAACTTGAACATCTTGAATTTATCTTAGAAAAGTCCGTTGGCACGAACATATCATTTGTTGGATGATAAATTCCAGAAGGCTATCATCATACCAGTTCTTTATAAAGCGATTAGATAGCATAGTTTAAAAAGGAAAATACAAAACGTATCATCCAAAGCGTAACAAAGGTCTCTGCCGACGGTAAAGACATAGGGTATGCCTACATCATTTAGCATTATTATTCACCCGACATTAACGATTCCGTTTATAATGAAGAACTTTAAATAGACTCTTTTATGTTCCTACATACAAAGAATTGAGTTCCTGTTCAGACAACGCCTATAGATACTATCATTTACATCCTGTTTGGCAACGTCGCCAAAAGCCATATCCAATTAAAGACTACATGTAAGGAGTTTTAAGTTTATTAGAGTTTTTTCTTAGAGTTTAAAAACTCTAAAATCAAATTATCGATGAAATTTTTCCATGCAAAAGAAGCTAGGCGTTTCAGAGGTAGGTAACTGAGTTCGTTGAAGCGATCATCTGGATTGGTTTAACCTCGTTAGAAGGGATAGTCAAAATTCTTTACTTTCTTCCTTTGGTTAACTGTAGTTTATTATATTAATGAAGATATAGTTGTCACGTATAATCCACTGTCTGTCATTTGTAAAATGATCGAGTGGGAACTTGTAAAGATAATGCATCCTCATATGCTCTGTTTTTCCTCAGGAGTAATCTAGATCATTGTGATTAATTTCCGGCCACGTGCCAAGACTTCAAAGAGCTTTGATTACACTGAGGTTAAAAACCAAGTGAAGCTCAAGAACATCCAGGTCCTCTCTCAAACATTGATTGTCTTCTACTTTGCCCAGTGTCCTTGCCGGTATGGATTACTTCTCTTCATTTGATCGATAATATTTTGATGTTTTTATCTTAAACTAACTTAGCTGAGAAGCTGAAGCTGTCAACGTTATCGGAGTTTCCTTGAACAGTTTTGGCCATGATTTCGAAACGATTTGATTTTTTTGACTTTCTAATGAGTTTGAATTTCAAGTTTTTTCCATTAGTCCACTAAATCTACCTTGAAATAGGGCGGTCATCCATCGCTTTATTCTTCGATCAGATTTTTTAGTCATTTAATAAGGTTTACAATTTTTTTTTTAAGAATCAGTTTTAATGAGAACATGTATAGGGAAAAAGAAAGATGGAATGAAGGATCTGCTATAAGTTCGTTAGGTTTTGAGTTTCAGATAATTCATTAAGAATACTTTTTCTCTGACTCGCGTTAATCCGTGTACTGTGTGCAAATGGTTGTAAGGGGAAACGTGATCGCGCACGAAGCTATTTTAGCTTGGTCCTTTTTAATTCATGCTGATAATTTTTATTCTGCGGTTCAACGTTGCGTAGCCACCGGAATCTTTTGCATCTTTAATTTTCGCACAACTGAACTCCGTCAGCGACGCGGTTTTTTCACCTCTTAACCTCAAAATTGAACGAAATCGCTTCAGAATTAATTTTCAGTATTGTTTACTTGCGAGCATGCAACAGATGGGCGGTCCATTCTAGAACAGGAACGGTCCGTTTCATCCAATGGACGGTCGATAAGGAGTCTCTTGAGCGGACGACTGAACGGATCCGAAGAGAATTTGAGGATAGAAATGACCCTGACTGCCTACCTAAAATACTGACCCGAAAAATTTCAAACACATGAAATCATTCAAAAAAACCTCGGAAATCCGGTTTTTAGAGTGATAAACATATTTAGAACCCACGCAATCTCTTAAGCCTTTGATCGTGTGTAGGAACATCTTGTGGCCGGTAACAAAGCCCTATTTGCCCAACCCTTCGGAAGATAAGTTCGACTAGAGGAAATCAAGAATAGCGAGTATTCTCGCGCAACGATTGAAGAATCGATCAAACGTCTATTTCATATTTCTTTAGTAGCAATTGACATAGAGTCATTAGCGCAGCAAAGTAATTTTCGCCAATGTTGGAAAATGACGAAGAAATTAGAACCAAAATTTCGCAATTTACGTGACAGATTGCGAGATAATCTGATGCGTATAGGAAGTCAAGAGCTTTAGGCATCGTTTGAAACTCCTTAATTATAACAATCATTAGCTAGTAAAAGGAAAAAGTTGATTCCGACTTGGTAAAAGCTATTAGAGTTTTTTCTCTCGTTTTATTTTACCATACTCACATTTACTCGGAGCTTTAACACTCAAATTTCAGATCCAACATTTGAAACTATGCAAGTCCTTTGTATCGTTCAGTTACTATTGCTGCTATCCTGGAGCAGTCCAACGATAGGTCAATGCGGAAATGAAGACTGGACAAGCACATTTGCAATAGCTGGTGACTCTACTTCTCAATGCACGAGTAGTGTCTCCTATGTCAATGGACTGAGAAGCGAGGGTTATGGTGCCCTGTTAGAAACTGGACCTGGTGTTGTTAAGGCAGCTAAATGCTGCTCTGTTGACCAGCCATACTCTCAGGAGAGTAACGATTGTTATCAGGCCCAGTGGTGGACTGATTTGCAGCGGTATGTAAGAGTGCTAACATTTTTAATGATAAATTCCTCATTTAAGCAGCGACATGGTGATAATCGGATAGAGAAAATAATGGTTTTTGTAACTGGGCGGATGTTCGATGCTCTACTCTCAAACTCAAAGAAATTCGCGCCTATTAGATCGTAGGCTTAGTTGATGCGAAACTACCCACCCTACTACTTGGACGAAGGGCTAACGCTCGAAACGTCAGCTTTTTTACCCTTTACGGTGGCTAATTTACGTTTTCAACCCAGTTGTTAACACTAAATTACCTGCTATACTCTCCCACCGACGCAGCACCACAGTTTCTTCAGAAACTTACCCCTTTATTCATTACCCACAACACAGCTTTTTTATCTAATTATATGCCTACGTTTTTCGAGGAGATAATTGGGTAATTGATAATTGGATAAAGAAATATCCGGATTTTTCCATTGATAAATGAGTGGGTTCTCTACCCTCAACTACAATAAATTCACGACTGCCAGATGTTAGGCTTGGTTTATGCGAAGTTTCCCAAAAAACAACTTTTTCTCAACTTAAATTTACATTATTGTAGGAAGTTAGCGATGCATGGTGACCACGCGAATAAGATTTACGTTACACAAAATTAACACGAATTTTCCACAAGTTAGGTCTACGTACATAAAATCAACGCGAATTCCTCCGGCGAAAACAATGTGCACCCAAGATCGAGGATATCTCGTGTATCGTACAAGCTGAAAGCCTTTCATGAAGCAAAACTCACGTCTGAACATGAAACAGATAATGAACATGATCGGTTTGTAGTCGCTGGACAAACAATTCTTCCGGGGACGCTATTTCTTTCCACTAAGTCAAACTAAGTGTTTTCCCATCATGATAGAACTGAGCCGATATATCCGGTTGTTGAAATAAACGTGCTGTAAAACAATAATGATGTACCATAGTTTAATTAACATTGGGATGTAATTGATTAGCACGGTTTTTTAAAAATAGCGTTGATAAAGTGCAACATTAATTTCTTATAATAAGGTATAAAATTCTATAAGGAAGTACTACAAGACCAGTTTAGTTTAATTATACGCGATCGCTTTTTAAAGTGATTCAACAACAATTACTCATTGCCTGGTTGTAATAACTCGACATTATTTTTCCCGAGCTAGATAAAAATTAATTATCAAATCCATCGAAAAAAAATGCCACGAAATTTATGTCGTCGATTTCAGTGTTTTTTCAATTTTTTTCAATTTCCCTTCTTTATGGGTAATTCAAGTTAGCTTCTCCGCAGAATATGTCCGAGATGTTTGCGCAGTCGTATCAGATCTCAGTCGTGCGCTTCTCTTCCTCTCATCTCCCTCAAAAAAGTAATACAGAAATTTAAACGATTATGGAAAGTATGTGATTTAATTTAATTACATTTAGGTTTCCTTTCAATTTATTTTTCAAAATTTTCCAATTAGCCATAATTCGTGGGCATTGTGCGAGAGGCCGGGATACCATCTACGCGGGTTTTTCACCGTTGGGAGAAATTTCTTGGCTGACATCGGCGAGGGTGTTTGCTGTAAACCCGAGAGTCACCCAGATCAAGATGGACCATATAGAGATATCAATGTTAATTTCACAACAGATGGAATGAAGCAGTGTCCAAATGGCATGTTCCTTAAGGGATTGTACAAAACAACATGTTCCACGATAGACTGTCTAACGAAGATCAGATGCTCCGAATTGATTCCAGGTTGGCTTGTTATGCATTTTTGGAGCAGTGTCCTCTCTTTCTCAGTAATCTTTCATTCTTATTACCTCTTTTTGACTCTGACAGTGACCAGCATCTAATTTCTCCTTACAATATCAGCCTTAAAGCACACATTGAGCTCACGAGAATAATAGAAATGGTGACCAACTAGAAAAGCTCTTGATTGTTTAACAAATTCTCCTTGTCAGTACCCTGGGAAATGTATGGAGAATAGTAAGGATAATATGGATACTGACCTAAGGAAGACTCTAAGATTAAAAGTAACCACTTTCTCGCACCATTTGAAGGATCTTTTCTGCTAAGAACCGTTCCCCTGATTGGTTCTACTTTTTTCCTTTATCATGTGTACAAGGATATTGCTATTTGCACGTTGGTATTCTCGTTATTAGCACTATATTTGTTTATTTCTGTTTAATATATCGGCAATGCGACTGCTCTTTTTCCACGAAGAAGCCTTTTTCTTTTTATCCGTGCTCTTTCTTTTCTTTTTCTTACTGATTTTTCACTCACACAGGAATCGTTCACGGTGGCTGGTCAAACTGGGGAAACTGGAGTCCCTGCCCTGTGACTTGCGGGGGCGGCACTCAGATAAGATTCCGCTCGTGTACAAACCCGCCACCATCAAATGGAGGAAGCAACTGTGTTGGAGATCCGGTGGAACTACAAGGATGTAACCTGAACCCATGCTGTATGTTCGATAACTATTTTGCATATAATGTTGCAAAAGTATAAAACAGCGGCTGGCCTGCTTAGCAGTCCTAAGCAGGGAGACAGATGGAAGACATTAGCTACAACGTTTACGATTCCCTTCACCCATTTTCCCAACTTTTCTAAGCAAATGGGCCAACCAGAGCATGGCTTACTCGTATCATGCTATTTCATACAGAAAGAATATTGACAAATGGTAAATTTTGAGTAAAATCGATGAATGATACGGCATCTTCTTGAGGTAACGATCGAGCTCAATGTCCTTGATCTGAAAGATGTCGGGATATGGGGGAGGGGGGCACATCTTCATTCAGCCAAGCGTATACCGCTTAGAATGTTATTTGCATATTGTTTAGAGGCTCAAGAAAAACAAACTTTACAGTCTTTTTTTATAAACGTTTTGTGACAAATTAGAGTCTTTAGCATATAACTTCTCTAAAAGCTGATTATTTGCCAAGCCAATTTTGTGTTGCTTTTGAGATACAAAGATAAACAGCAATCAAGGACGATAAATTTCGGCAAGGTGGGTACTCAAAAACGAAATTCAGTTTGCTGATAAATAT